TCCACAATTCAAAAAGGATGTGGAGAAACTTGAGAGAGTCCAGAGAAGAGCCACGCGCATGATCAGAGGTCAGGAAAACAGACCTTACGACGAGAGGCTGAGATCTATGAGGCTCTTCAGCCTGGAAAAGCGCAGGCTCAGGGGTGATCTGATGGCCACCTATAAGTTTATCAGGGGTGACCATCAGTATCTGGGGGAATGTTTGTTCACTAGAGCGCCGCAAGGGATGACGAGGTCAAACGGTAATAAACTACTGCAAGACCATTTCAGGCTGGACATAAGGAAGAATTTCTTTACTGTCTGAGCCCCCAAGGTCTGGAATAGCCTGCCGTCGGAGGTGGTTCAAGCACCTACATTGAACACCTTCAAGAGTAAATTGGATGCTTATCTTGCTGGAATCCTATGGCCCCAGCTGACTTCCTGCCCTTCGGGCGGGGGGCTGGACTTGATGATCTTCCGAGGTCCCTTCCAGCCCTAATGTCTATGAAATCCCCTCTCCCCCTGCTCCTGGGAGGCGGTGGCAGCGCAGGATGGTGGCTGGTGGGGCTCCATCCCTACCTGCCCCCACTTCCCCCCTCCCATCATTCTTGACAGGCAGTTTGCTAGTTTACTACATAATAGAGCTCTGTGCCTTGTGTCCACTCCACTTTTATTACCTAGTAAATGTGTCATGTCCCTATTCTTAGTATTAATCGGTACCTCTTGAGAAGGTCAAAGACTGAACTACTTACTTGTTCCTTCAGATGGCCTCTCCATGTGGGTCTTGAGGCAGACTGGCATGTATGAATCCTCCACTGTTATTTTTGTGCTGTATCTCTACTATGACAAATACAGGACTCCAGCCTTCAATACCTGTTGTGAGTGCTAAATTAACTTAGAAAAAGGTAGCTTGAAAACATATTTGCACCCACTCATTTAATTGCACCTTGTTGCCATCTTCAGGGGTAGAACTGATGTCACAATCTGTTTCTGCAGCAGAAAACACAGTGCTGTGCTGCAGTCAGGATCACGCTATATGTATTTTTGGAAATTTCAGCTGTGTGGGAAGGTTAGCTCTAAAAGATACAATGCTAGTCTGCTGTGTTGAAGGAGTCTCAAATAGACAAGCTGTGGTTATAATCACCATTGTTGCCAAAGGTATTCATTTTGTTAATATTGCAGCAGCTTGCTTAGCTATTGAAGATTCATGTACTTATATTTACTATGGAAACAGGACTCTTCAACCTTAGGCACTTTGAAAGTCCATAATTCATGTGATAGTTAAATACAACCTGGATGTCTCCGTCTTAGTAATTAGTGAAGAAATGCACTTCATTTCTACATTTGGTGTGCTGGTTTGTTTTTTTACTGCATAACTAGCCAGTGTTACAGAAATCATTTGCTAGGGGGAAAGTGGAGTATGTCTAGGTATCAACATTATATTGGGAGTTTCTCATACCTCTGAGCTAATGAAGCAAAGAAGATGTGCACTGTCAAATTTCCTTTAAATACTTATTAGTGGGTTTTATAAGGGCATTGTCAATGCAAAGATGCCCCACATCAGAGCCATTGCTTTTCAAAGTCCTCATAATCTGTACTGTCTAGGGACTTCTCCAGTCTCCTAGAAACATTCACTTTTTTGTACCACCTGGAAGTATAGTAGATGCTTCACTGAGCAAGCAGAAGGTATGATCATTGCCTCAAGTAACTTTGGAAGACTGACTGGACTGACATTGAAATTACAATGCTATCTATTGATGAAGAACTGAAATGAACACTGAGTCTCAGTGTTTCAGATGCAGCACTATCTCTAATATGAACAATTACTCCTGCTTTGCTTTGAAAAGCACATTTTCTTACACAGTCAAGATTTTCTCTGAAACAGTGATATAATTTGAGACAAGAGAAGTCCTTTAGTTACCACTTGTATCCTTTTCCAGTGTGAAGTGAGAAGATCACTAGATCATGCTCAGGACATGGATAATTAATTAGTCAGTGCCTAGCATGCTATAAGTGTGACACTAAGAGGCCTCACTTCCACTAGTAAAACTTACAATCTTATCTCCTATTAAGTCAGGATGGATTCCAAAAGAACACTTACGAGTAAAAGTTACCATAGCGTTTTTCCTCTCAGTCCTAAAAGGTTCACTTGCTTTTTCCTGCAAATTCATTCCACAGTTCTTGGGTTCCAGTACTGAATTCTTTTTCCAAATAACTTATAGAATAGTAGTGTTGAAAGGGACTTTTAGGCCAGGTACAGACAACATACTTTTACCAGTGTAAGTGATTAGAAACCAGTCTATATCTCTCTATATCTCTAACAGAACAGAAGTTCAACATCCAAAACCAGTCTATGCCTGTAACAGAACAGAAGTTTGGCATGCATAGACTGATTTAAAAATGGCAGAATGTGGTCTAAGATTGGCCCTCCTCCTCCCATCCCCCAAGGGTGAATGTGTGTTCTGTTCACTACTGATCTGAACTATGCCACTTAAAGTAAACCACATAACTTAGATTCTTCCTTGGGCCTGTACTTAGCTCTAGAGGTCATCTGGTCCTATCTCCTGCTTTGAATGCAAGATCATCCCTGACTAAACCATCCTGGTCAAGTGTCTGTCTCACCTGCTCTTAAAAATGCCCAAGAGTGGAGATCCCACAACCTCACTATATATCCTGTTTCAGTGCTTAACCACCTGCATAGTGAGAAAGTTCCATAATATTCAACATATATTTCCCCTGCTGCAGTTTGAGACCTGCTCCTAGTTCTATAGTCTGTGTCCATCCTCCATATAACAACCCTTCAGGTATTTGAAGACTGTTATAAAAAAATACGCCCCTCCCAGTCTTCTAGGCTAGGGACAAACATTTAAAAAGCCCAAGTCTGAATCGATTCAATCATTGCAGGTTAGTCTGACCTGCAGAGATTGAACTGATTTGCAAGTGGATAGATATTCATGTTTGATTCAGGAAATTCAGGCATATGCCTGCAATGGCTCAGGCTAGAGGGTGGGGGGTGCTAGAGTGAGCCCTCCCTTCCTTTCTGGGATGCTGAGCTGAAGGGGGGCATGGTCAGGCCCCTTAGAGAGGGGTTTAAGCCTCAACCCTAGCCTCCACAGTCCCCAGCCAGGGTGTCTGGAGGGAGTAGGGGAAGCAGCCCTAACCAGGCTTTTCCCCTGCTTGACACTCAAGGGGCAGGGAGTGTTGCCAGCCCCCAGTTAGCACTCTGAGGCAAGTGTGGGGAGGGGAGAGGGAGGACTGCTTGTTTGGACTGCATGCATCTGTTGATGGTACTGAGGTTTTTGATCTCCATCTCCCTGCTTCTTACTGTCTGCAGCAAACTGACAGCACTCACAGGTCCCACGCATTGCAAACCAGGTCATTTCTCACGCTTCTCTCTGTCCCCTGTTGAACACTGACAGATTGTGGACTTTGAAGCAAGCCAGCAGGGAGCTTATCAGAATACCAAGCTTTATCAACCCATCAAGGAAACAAAAGCCCCTCTCTCATTAGTTCAAACTCTTCTTGAATGGCTTTTTGCAAGGCATTTGCAAGGAAAAACGGAGGGATATTACCAGCTGACCTGCTGATTTATTCCAAAAAGCCTTATGCAGACACTGTTCTGTCTGCCTTTATTCCAGTCAAATTGGAGACACACAGAGACACCTCTCAGCATTAGCTAGCATGGGGATGGTGTGACTGTGACCAGATGCTGGCTGGGCACTATGCTGCTGGGGTCTGTGCTGTGGGAGAGGGAGGGGAACGGGGATCCCTCCTTGATCAGTGAGTGGCATTGGGGGGTTGGGTGGCAGGGGAGGGAGTCAGACAGATGCTGCTGTGCTCCTGCCAGGCAGACGGCAGCTACAGTCTCCACCTCCTTCTGAGCCAGCCAGAGCTCTGACTAAGGAGGGGAGGGGTGTGCCAGCCCTGCTCTCTGGAGCAGACAGCCCAGCCCCGGGCTGAAAAGCATATTGGGATGCTGAGGGACTCTGATTTAACTCGAACCAGGAAGGGGTCTGGGACAGAAGTTCCATAAACCAGTTTGACCCAAATCAGTTAAGTCTGATACTACATTCAGCCAGGTTTATCTTAAACCAGTTTTGGCCATTTTGAAACTGGTTTATGTGCCATGAACTTAGGTTTAGTTACAGGTTTAAACCAGTTTCTGATCACTTAAACTGGTTTATATGCCACTTGTGTCCCTAGCCCTACAGACTAAACAATCTTAGATCTTTTAGCCCTCCCTTACAAGTTTTGTTTTCCAGGCTTATAATCATTTTTGTTGCTTTCTGATGGACTCTTTCTAATTTGTCCACATCTTCGTTGAAGTCTGGGGCCCAAAACTGAATGCAGTACTCTGGATACTGGAGTACTTAATTCTTTTTTACCTGCTTATAACTTCTGCTAGCCATTATAGTAAAAATTAGTGTCATTTTCCCAAACCTTGCTTTCTGATGTGATTCTTGTTTTGCTGTTCTTTTTTATCTCCCAGTGTATCTGTCTGCTGCACTGCTGAGGTAATGGGTAGTGTAGTGTTAAAAGATTATTCAGCAGACCAAAAGGAAAAGAGAAAGATTGGATGCTGGTGAATCTTTGTAACAAGGATAATTGGAAGAACAATTACAGTAGTGGTAGTTGAAAACATTATTTTTTCATTCTTGCTGTACGTTTCCAAAATGAAAATATGGAATGATGTCTTTACCTTATTTACCCTTTAATTAGGGAAAATGTTCTTTATTAATAATATTGAAGCAGTTGCACGTGTGTCAGGTTTGAGGACCTCCATACATAACTTCATAATATCAGGCAGTATTATTTTTCTGGTATAGATGATATAGCTTACACAATCTAACAGCTATTTAGATTGGACTTTTATTTTAAAAGTCGGGTTTTCCTGTAGACTCTTTTCCTTAGCCTTACATTAGACTTTCACATATGTGCACATGCAGCACTTGTACAGAATTTGAGCTTGAATTCTCTGCAGAATTGAATCCTGTAATTTATAATTAATTTGTATCTTATAGATTCTTCAGAAACCAACCCCAGAGCTGAAGCATCAGTTGGCTGCCTTCTCAAAACGGGTTGCTGGTGCTGTTACAGAGCTTATCCAATCAGCAGAAGCAATGAAAGGTGAGTCTTGACAACATGTGCATCCCAGAGGCATCAAGAGACATAAATATTACCTACATTTTTTCATAATTTGGTTTTAGTATTTAAAAATCTTGCCCTTCGCCAAGCCCTAAATCTCCTGATGGAGCTTAAGTTCAAACCATTTTCCATTGAGCTCCTATTCTTCAGCACTGGATTGTATAATGGTCACAAGTATTATCAACACCAGCAAATAACCCTGCATAATAATTCTTTAACATAAGCTGAAACCTGGTGCTCTTGGACCTCAGGGAACTGCAGTCGGATCCAGTGATGGGACAAGACCGCCAGAGTCTGTATTTGTCCCCTCAAAACACGGTGTTTTCTCAGAGCTAATAGACATCTTGGTAAAGATCTTATCCAGAGGGCACCATGAAATGTTTTAGTGAGAGACTATTCCTGTAATGAAGCATAGGAAGCTAGGAATTAACAAAGGTACAGCACTCCCAGAACAGTTCCACTGTGCATGACCTGCTGATGCTCCCATTCTGATGATGGTTCCCTTTTAGAGGCGAAGAAACCTTTCAAACCCATGCAGCTACAGTATGTGGTCTGCAAAAATCTGTCACGTATTTCTCTAATATCTTTTCTATGGCTCCCTAGAAGCTTTCCCTTTCATGAAATCAGTCACAAGTTATGTGTGAACTATTCAGAAGGCACAAAAACAGAAAACAAAGTACAATTCAAGTCCCAACAATCTATCAGTAGGATGGCAATTGGTCCTTCTCATTAGAGTTCACATCCACTCTCCCATGTTAATGCTAACACTGTGTCCAGAGCATGCGTAACCCTAACATATGGACCCTTCAGCAACCCATGACTGTTTTAAGACTGACAAGTCAGTGGTGAATCAAAGAAATAAAAGGAAATTAAGGTTTGAATGAGAGAGAGAAATTGCAGCAAAAATGCAGTGGGTTTTTTTGGAGGATGTGATCCATATGTGTGTGTGTGTGTGTGTGTGAGAAAACATTGTATATAAAGCATATTTAATTGTTTAGACTGGCTTCTTATATTGCATTTATGTGTCATGGAAGAATAACAGTATTTAAAATGCTTATCACTTAATTGAATTTACAACTGATTTTACTGTCTAAATGTTCATGCAGCAATGTGGACACACTCCTAAGACCATAACTCTCACTAAATTAGTATAGTAAATAAGGTGAATGAGATTCTGGGGGAGGAATTATAAATCCATGGAAAATTGCTTATTAAGATGGGGAGATATTACTCTATAATTGATACAGTAAATTTTGGTACAAAACGTATTGAAAATTCTAGTTCAACAAACATTTCTGTAACTGACAAATAGGCACAGAAATATTCTGATATTATGGCCAACAGATTATTCCATTAGTTCAATTCAGTTGCAAAGGTGTAGTCAATTCTTGTCAGTAAACAGTATCTAATCTATACTTGTGTGGTTACCCTGTCCTAAGTCTGACATTTAATTGTTCTAATTTTTGTTTAATCCTTTACAGATATTCATAAGCTGCAAAGGACCATTATAATAGTCTGATCTGGCCTGCTGTATTATACAGGTCACAGAGCTTCCATTTATAAATTCTTGTTTCCATTATAAGCATAAGAAAAGGTCCAATCTTGAAAATGTCCAGGGATGGACAATCTTCCCAAAACTTTGGAGTTGTTCCAATGGTTTCTCATATTTACTTTTGTAAACTTACACCTTATTTCTACATTGAAGAGAGCTTTTTGTTAAGATTCTGTTCTGAAGACATAGTTATCCTTTCCCTTTCTTTTTTAAGCTGAACAAACCCTAGGAGCTCCATCAATGTGAGCCACATCTTCTAGTCTTTTAATAATTCTTGTGACTCTTCTTTGAAGCCTTTACAATTTTTCAGTAGGCTTTTTGAATTGTGGACACCAGAACTGGATACAGCACTTAGTGGTCATTCTGATGCAGAATGCAAATGTAATAAAACCATCCCCACTCCTGCTTGAGATTCCTTTTTTGTATATCCAAGGATTACTTTATGCCTTTTGGACACAGTTGTGCTGGGAACTTCTGTTTAGCTGATTATTCACCATGACCTCAAGTTCTTTTTCAGAGTTGCTGCTTCCCAAGAGAGTTCCCCATCCAATAAATAAGGCCAGCATTCTTTGTTCCCACATGTATGACTTTACATATGGTCATACTCAGACACAAATTATCAGCTTTCACCCAGCTTGCCATGCAGTCTAGATTGCACTGTATAGGTGAACGGTCCTCCACATTATCTATCACTCCATCAATCTTTGTCTCCTTTGTGTACTCTGTTACTATTTTAAGTGGTTTTTCCCCAGGTTGTAATAAAAATGTAAAATAGTGTAAAGTTAAGAAACAATTTCTAGAGGACATAACTAGGAAGAAGCATGTTCAGTGATGATCGTCTATTTACGACTATATTTTGTGACATCAGCCAATTTATAATTCATTTATCTTGTGCCATTTTGATTTTGCATTATTTTAAAATGTCATATGGCAGCAAGACCAATGCCTTACAGAAGCTACGAAGTTAGTTTGACAACATGCGTTTTCAGTAAATCCACGTTGACTGACATTCATTTCTTGCTCCCTTTTAATTCTTTATTAACTGAGTCATATATCAGCTGTTCTATTATTTTGCTCACAATCAGTGTTACACTGAAAGGCCTATTATCCTTGCATTGTCCAATTTATTATTTTAAATGTTGGCACAACATTGGCTTTCTCCCAGTATTCTGGTGTTCCAAGGCTTATTGAAAATCATCATTTGTGGTCTGGAATACTCCTCTTCCAAAACTCTCAGAAGCAAATTATTTGAACCTGCAGATTTAACTTTATTAGCTGCTACTTAACATCCTTGTGAGTTAGAAGGAGAAGTATTTTATCATCATCATATGACATAACTTCTTTTTTCACAAACAGAACTAAAATATGTATTGAACACTGCTGTCTTTTCAGTTGGCTTTATACCGTCTCCACTTACTAATAAGCCAATACTATTGTTAGAGTTCTTCATGTTCTAATATGCTTTTTGAAAACCTTTGCCTTCTTGTCCTGAGCTCTAATAGAAAGTGATTTCTCTGTGTCCTTTTGCTTATCTTAGCAATTTTCTGCACTTCCTCACTTTTGATTCATGTTTATTAGTATCAGCTTTACTTTTTCCCTTAATTCAATTTTTATTCCTGATTTTTTTCTTCTCAGTCAGGCTTCTGCATTTTTCTGTTTCAGATTATGGTGTTTTGAGCATTTGAGATTAATATTTCTAAGAAGTTTCCAATTAGCAATAATATTTTTATGTTTACGTTCTTTTTCTCAGCCAGTTAATCTAATTGTTTTCAGCTTTGGCTATTTCAGAACTGGCCATTTTAAAGACCCAGAGTTTATCAGTACTACTGGTCTGACCTTTTTTTCTGTTTTCACACAACAAATATGATTAAGTTGTCATTCCCTGTATATAACGTAACGCTATTTTTTCATTCTTTGATCGGTTCCTAATGATCCATCAAAATGAGTCTAATCCTCTATGTTGCATGCAATACTTTCTAATTTAAGAAGTTGTCCTTTAACACTCAGAAAAAATTGAGGATGTGTTAGTGTAGGCAGCATGAGACTTCCAGCACGTCACCCAGAATGAGGTCACATTAGTAATGCAGATTTTTTTCTCCTACACATTAGAGAGAGGTGCTCACGGAGCAGGATGACTTGCTCTCAACTGCAATTTGGTGGTTCATAGCAGATACCAGATAGTAGTCCACTTTGTGCTTCATCTGTGAGGACATTGATCTACAAGAATGGAAAATATTTTCTTCAGATTGGTCAGTGACTCAGAAATAAGTAATACCGTTTTTGACAGAAGTGCACCACTCAACCTTTCCTAAACAAGCTATTTCCTCTAATTTTAACATTCCAGTCATGCAGAACTTCCCACTGGGGAAAGTACACTAGAGCCTTTTCTAGTAACATCCATGATTACACATGGTTGGTAGCCAGGATAATTCAACTCCCATTGGGCATGATGTTTGAAGCTACTGTTAAGAGCTGTTTTTGCCTTTTATAAGTTTTTAATAAGTTACTTTTATAATAGAATATTGCTGCTCAGTGCTGTTACCGTTCTGTCACAGTTTTTGCAGTCAGCACCTTAAATTATAGTATTTATGCCATTATGGTATTAAAATGAGCTCTCCATATTGCACACACTGTGTATGTGACACTTAGTCTTGAAGTGTTACAGTGAATTAGCTCAAAAAGGCTGCTAAGAATGCCATTGAAATTATTGTCTTTCCCTGTATTAATTTCAGGCACAGAGTGGGTGGATCCAGAGGACCCGACTGTCATTGCTGAGACAGAGCTGCTGGGGGCTGCAGCATCAATTGAAGCTGCAGCAAAGAAGTTAGAGCAGCTGAAACCAAGGGCCAAGCCAAAGGTGAGTATCAATCTTGCACATTTTTTTTTGAAGGAAACACAGTAGAAATGCAAATAAATAGGGCATTGCACTATTGCTGCTGTTTAAAATATTGGGATGAACAATCAGTCTTTACATCATTCTCAGCAGATGTCAGATGAAAAAACTGACAAGCACATTGGGTTTGACTTAAGGCACCAAGATGATTATTAAAGGAAACTTGATGGCTCTTTCAAGTGGTGGGTTTGAGAGCAGTAGACTTGAAAATGTAAGGAAAGGAAAGGAAATTTCTAGGAATAGAACTTTTTATTACGTTTAAGAAACCTTTATTGCCAGTTCATTCACTTTTTTGTTTACAAAAGATTTTTCCTCAAAATGGCTTTTGACACATTCTCTGATACCTGAGTGTTTGTGCATTGTTCTGTGGGAAGGTTCTGGCTGAAAGTTTGGGGAAAGGTAGAGGGAAGAAATAGGCTGGTATTCAGTCTTTTATAAGTAGATCTCATAGTTTTTGACTGATGGCAAAATGAGACCTCCTTTCAAACTCTGTTTAACGTTAAATGCCCATTTCTGTAACTTGACAAGGTCCACCACGAATATGTTAATAGTCTCATATATTTCAGATATATTCCTGAGTATATGAAGTGAAAGAGAATTAACCATTTGCGTATGTGGCAAAGAGGGAATAGATGGTTATTACTGTCACCTGAAGCAGTGTGCACAGTTCAGGGCACTGGACCTCATGGTATTGTTACACTTTACAGAGCAGAAGACTTGACAGGTGATGGAATAAATCATTGTATGAGCTAGAACTGGACCTTTTTTGATCAAAATTATGCTGTGGTTTTGTAATTAACTTCAGTAAGCAACTCCCCGTTTGTGTCTTGTACTCAGTGGCTTCCTAGATTTAGTTCTAAATAAAACAAATGAAGTCTTTAAAAAAAACTGGGTTGTTAAGAACGTCCACTGTCAGAGCGCTGTGTTCAGCGTGGCATGGGATTTTTCAGCCTCTTAGGAGCCTAAACATTAAATGGATGCCCTGGGTTGCCTCACTAGGTGAGCAGTGGTTGTCTTCTTTTGGGATACTCTTTTATTTCAGTAATAAGAATAAATAAGCGCATGAAAAGCAGTGCTTTTCTTTGTTCTACATTTTTTGTAACTGGTACATTCATTTTTTTACAAAAGAAGATGGTCCTTTGTAATGAGATTCTATAGAGCAGAGGATACAGGCTGATTGTGAGGATAGGATGAGTCCTTTATCACATTTTCTACACAATCACTGCACAATAGCATCTCTGAGTTGCCTAGTAACCTTGAAACAGTTCTCCTGCTAACATCTAAACCACTTCAGTGGTCATTGTCATATTACAATGAATACAAATGCTACATCTGCTCCTCATTTAACATGTTAATTTGAGTATCCAGTCTGCCTGTGCTTTATTGTTTTGTTTCTTTGTCATTTTGTGGAAAGCATATTCATAGTTTTTAACTCTTTGGGGGATAAAACTTCTCTCCCTTATAATTCAGTTTGTTCCCTTTCACAAAACTGTAATACAGGTGAAAGGTGTTGGAATGACCACACTAGATAGTTCAGTTCACAGTTCATCCAAAAAGCAGCAAAAACATGGGCAACATCCGTATGAATTTCTCAGTGCTATCCCAATGGTATATTTAAATTCAGATCAGCAGATATTACCTTCAGTGGAGAGAATGTTTTAGGTACTTCCATTTCTAAAGTTTCAGTCTTTTTGGCTTCTTTGTCTACAAGGCATCTCTGTCCCTTAAATCTGGTTATGGGCAGTGTTAGGATGTGGAGGACACCCAAACCCATGGTCCTGATTTTAGACTGATAGCATCAGTTTTCTTATGCAAACTGTCCTGAATACAGATACTTAGAAATATCTGGAGTGGATCAGACCAGTGGTCCATCCAGCAGCATTGCATCTCTGACAGTAATCACTGCCTGCAAGAGAAAGTGCAAGAAAAACTGGGATATGTCATTAAAGTATCCTGCCTGCAGGGAAAGTTTCTTCTTCATTTCTGTTAAGTTAATAGTTTTGTTTATGCCTTGAAGTACAGTAGTTTAGATAACTTCCAAAACTCTGATGGAGTTTAGGGGAAGTTTTTGTCTAGTTTTAATCCTCCCAGTTCTAACACTGTCTGCATTCCAGTTTTTATTAACTTAATCATGAAGATGAAACAGTAAAACCCAAAGGACTTTTATTATTTGTATGTGAGTTTCCATTTCTGGTTCCTTTTTTGATTCAATCTTTTAATTCTGTTCTCTATATCTTATTATTGTGTTCCCCATCATATACCCAAAGAAATGTGCCCTCTCCTACATTGAGCAGGATAGAATAGGGCAGTTGCTTTCCAATTTAGGAGAATAATTCATACTCCAGAGAACATTCTCTGGTAATGCATTGATCTTTACACTACTGTTCACATGTTATTGTGCAATATTCATTCTTTCTGAGTTGAATCACAGGGATGCAGTTACAGAGCAGACTGAACCTGGCACCTTTTAAAGGTTATTTCCTTCACGAATAAAATGCTTCTTAGATGGTCAGATTATTAACCCAGTGCCCAAGTGATGTTTAAGTAGTATTTGTCCTGTTTTTGAGCACATGTTTTTGTGAGTATTTTGAGGAAGATTCTCCAAAGTATCCTTTGATACGCTACTTCCTCCTTCAAGTAACACAAGCCCTCCTAATATTCTATTTGTAATGTTCAAGGGAGAAAAATTGATCTGCTAAACTGTTCATTAAGCAAGTTATGCTTCCTTTGCAGCATAATTATGCATTTATACTGACTGTGGAGTTTTACTGGTGGGTTTATTGTCTTTTTGTATCAGGTCCCATCCTTTCCTGTTACAATATATAACAATGTCCTTGTTGCATAAAAATAACACTTGGTACAAAGAAACTGCCCAAAATACTTCTTAAAAAAGAAAAATTGTTTATTTCATAAATGAAAAAAATGTTTAACCCTTGGAAAAAATAACTGTAGAGAAATGATGCTGTGGGTTAGGTACATTAGTAGGTAGCATTGGTGTATGTACACTGTATTACTATCTGTACACTTTTGATGCCTCCAGACAGGCATTTGCCTTCAAACCCAAGGACGAGGGGTTGTGTCATTAGTAGTTGATAACAGTTCCCTGCCAATAGCCTTCAGCAATTTTGTCCTCTTTTTCCCCCAAGATGAATCAAACCTGGATGCCTTTTCTGCAGGACTCTGTGTGATATGTTTGATATATTAGGTTGTTATTTAATCCAACTATATATCAAACATATTCCTACAGTGTCCTGCCCTGTCTCCGGGGGTTTATAAAGTAGTAAAAGGCAATATGAAGGAATACATTAAATCACAAGTAGGTTTAGAAGACATCCTGCAGATTCTTACTCTAATCTGATTTTAAACATATGCAGTAAAGTGCTCCAATCAGCAAACTTGCTTTTGGGGAAATTTGTAAGTTGGGTAGGATATTTTCTAATGGACAGCAGCCATACAAGTACTGAACCTCACAGGAATGGTTATTGTGTGTTACATGGTGCTGTGCAGTATCTTCTCCCTTTTCCTTTTTCTGTATGAAATAGAAGCTGCAAGGTGCTTCAAAAGGAATATGGTTTGTCTTCCAGGATAACTTATAATGCTTGGCAATGAGTTTGTGGGTCATTCATTCTGCTACTGATCCTAACTTTATTCGTGCTGCCCATTGGTATTTGAAGGATCTTGTAGGAAACTGGTTAAAAGTACAAAAATATCTGTATCTAATTTAAAGAAAAAAAGATAATGCAATCAACACTTGGTAGGAGGCATTTTTCTTACAGCATTTTCTGGCTGGCCCATTAATGTGTCTGGTTTGTTTGGGTTTTTTTGCTTGTAACCTCACGTTGCAGTTTCTCTATACCTATACCTATTCACAGTTAGTAGTAACATCAAAGTTTATGATGACTTTAATTAACATAAGTATGTGGAAATAAAGATCTTGATCTTGTGGGTTTTGGGGTTTTTTTTTGGGGGGGGGGGGGTTGTTATCCCATTCTCATTAACTTAATTTCTAAAGTAATCTAAATTGCCATCTCAAGGGACTAAAAGGTAGAATTTTCTACCATGGTACACATAATGTACCATTACACATGATTTTATGTTCACAGAAGTTGAGAATTGCCGTAATTTGAGAGCAGCATTGATGAATGTGAACCAAAACAATTCATGACATGCTCCTCCAAGTAACAGAAATGGGTAGAAAAATAGTTCTTAAGTCTGTTTTGCTGCACTATCTTCAAGTATTGTGTAGTAAACAGTGTGGACATCTCATTCCAAGATACCTATTTCAAAACATGCTACAGGGTATATGAAAACAGACACATGCCGCCTTCTGTGCGCAGCAGGAGAAGCGCCCATGTCAGCCATTGTCATCTATTCTGAGCATGTCTCAAGCCCCCATATGTGCCTGGCTTCAAAGTGTGAAAGGCCAAAGAAACCCAAGACCAACCCATAGAGGAGGAATGGGCAGAGGAGAAGACAGAAGCTCTGAAGTGCTATTTAGGCCTAATTGAATATTTACCTTTAAAAATGTTTAACTAAATCTGATTTTCCATAGAAAAATCTGTACTTTCTATAGAAATGTTTTGCTCTCCTTCCCCCCGCAAAAAACAAACAAACACCACAAAACTGAGTTTTCAGCTGATGAAAAATGTGCAGGTTCAGTTTTATAAACATCAAGATTTTCTGCAGAAAATCTTAGTGAAAATATATTTTAAAATAATGTTGTTAGATGCGGAGGGGAAGAAAACATTTTTCAAATAGCTCTAATCGTAATAGTCCACTTACCTGGTAACTCATGTGTAGCACTAACTTAAATAGTTTCACTGTAGCCTTTGCATTGATGCAAGCTCTGATTTCCCTGCAGTCCCTTCAAGCTGGATATTTTTACCTGCATGTATATGCACAAATTCAGCACATGCAGCTATTTTTCTTCCCTGTCTTTGGGCCGGAGCTCAGCAGCTCAGGAAGTGTGTTAAGTATGTTGAGAAAGTACTGATATGATTTTAAGGATATTTCTAATACAGCAAGTAAATTGCAGTCTGGAAAAACTTCTAGACACAGATACTGAAATTAATAGATCAAAGTCATAACAGTGAGTACTTTATTAGGCTTTATGAACAAATAAAATCCTTCATAAAAAAACTACTTAGTGATTTGCTTACTGATTTAGGAGAGAGCCTATCTTACATCATTCATTTAAAAGATAGTACATACTATTTGCATTGTGTGGAGTAATTCTTGACTTACAGTTGCCTTTGCTAGTATGGAAGTAAGCTCCTCAATTTTAACCTGACAATATTCTTTAATTTCTTAAAGAAGTTAAAACTGTGATATATTGGGGAAACTGAGACAAAGAAGAAGACACAAATTCCAGCAGAAATCATAAGAGAACTGGTTATCACAGTGAACTGTTAATTTCCAGTTTGTTTACCTTCTTCCCTGCCATAAACATGTCCTTTACAATTTGGCAAGTGCTCTTCCACTGCAAAATGCCAGATTTGTGCCGTTCCAAAATGACAGAACAAAATGTTAAGTAATTATCATTAAGTAATTATCTGCTTCTTAACAAATATTGCCATATGAATGTGTCACTTCTCACTCAGGAGGACAAGGTTCCTACTCAAAGGATCTTAAAATCTTAATTAGCTTCAACATAAACAGGGTTCAGACACAAGAGGGGATACACCACCAGAAACAAATCTATTTTGAAAGACAATAAATTTCTGACATTTAATGACAATAAATGACATCTAAGGCATTACTGGAAAGATGTCTTTAACTCCCGTTGTCACTAGTAGAATTGTGCATTACAGACCAAAATATTTTCCTAAATTCTGTTTCATCAGCTGTTAATTCATTGTCTTGTCTGGATAGACAGTTATTTTTAATATATGTAGATGTCGAGACAAATATGTCCAGTGTTTTAACTGCTTCCCCAGAGTCTGCCATGTTCCCAACAATACAAGAAGAACTGGATAATTTTGTCTGTTAGCTCAAAAATCTGTTTAGCTTAGAGGTGGGGAAAAGCCTGTCTCCCTCAAGGATTCCTGTTAGTGTATGCATCACAGCATGCCTACGTTATCTTACTCTTTGTACTGCATTGGAGTCCATTTGGTGCGTTTTGGTCAGAGTCAGTTTTAAAAGAATAGACCCTGTGTCAACAATGACATTTGTGATTTAATTGTTCAGAAGCTAGTATATCTCAGTTGGGGCAGATTGATATAATTTTCTGTATACATTTAAATGATGTTATTAGCCCTTCTTTTAACTTTTATACATTTGTATGTCCATCTTTAGAAAACCATGACATTTGCAGAGCAATATTGACTGTTTTGGGTCAATATTTTTCCACTTTCACACAGTAGAAGCATTATTAGCAGCAATTAATCTTTTTGTTCAGTACATGCTTGTTAAAACTTCTGTTTTGATGCTTGAAGTGTTGTCCCCAAACCGCCCTGTGGCATCTCATAACTCCTAAGAGGACTGAATTCAACTACTGTCCCAATACTACTCTTAGAGAACTTGATGACACTTGGAAAGACTAATTAAATGAGTGGGAATACTTCATATATATGTTCTGCTTTTCATTAGAGATACACAAAGGAACATTGTTTTGTAAACCATAAAACTTTGTTAATGTAATGTTCTGTAGCAATCAAAGGAAACAAACTACTTTTCATGCTACAAAGATAATACTGTATATGATAGCAACAAGTCCATTTCAGGCTATTTCTTAATATACATTTCTGAATATAGTTTTGAATATTTTTAAGATACTCAGGAAATCAATGACTTTGCCTGAAATGTTTTGTATTTTCTGTTTAAATAAAATATGTCACTTTTAATTTTACACTAAAGTTGACTCACCAGAGCAATATTACTTTCCAGTTAAGTTAACAGTTTGTTATACTGTTGCCTTCTAACCTAGAACACAGGAAAGTCCTTCCTGGAGTACCAGTATTGAAGTGTTTCTTCTTTCTCTCTGCGACTGGGTTAAAAAAATGCAGTTTGAGGCCATAAAATACATCCTGGGGGATGAAGAGAAACCACTGCTCTGAATTGTGTGTGACACTGTTCTTTTTTGGTTATAGCAAGCAGATGAAACTCTGGATTTTGAAGAACAGATCCTGGAAGCAGCTAAATCCATTGCAGCTGCTACCAGTGCCCTCGTCAAGTCAGCCTCAGCAGCCCAGAGGGAGCTGGTGGCACAGGGAAAGGTGGGTAAACAGGATAATTAAGATAGGAACAAAAGAAAAACCTTTAAATTGAAAAGCACAGAATTTTCCAGTGTAAGAATAGTATGGAAGGAGATCTGGGATCACTAATCAAAATGTAAATCATGCCAGAAGTTATTGAATCGCATGGCCCTACATTGGTTTAAAAATCTGTTTGTTTAAACCTAGTAAACATAATCAGGTATTTGGCTTTCAGATGTCTCAGCTGTTTCTTATTAAGAAGAGCATTTCATGTAAAGGAGGGCAATGATTAAGGCTAGTAATGTATAGTCCCATAGGACATTCTGGGATTTAAAAAGAAACATCATAGTAAGCAATAAGGTTCTGGACTAAATTAGCAAAGCACCTCAACTAATTGTGCCTTTAGGATTTGTTGTGCGATTCAGCTGGGACACGTGTGTGCATGTAAATGAATTGCATGCAAAGGGACATATTGCCAGGACAACCAAAGAAGTGCTTACAAAATGTCTCTTATCTGTCCATTTGGTCTTGTCAGCATCAAGCATCAAGTGCTTTTTAGTTCATTTCCATTTCTCCTTTTTATGCAATTTGCATAATTTGAAAAGAACTTAAAATCTCAGTAGCATCCAGATCTGCAGCTTTCAAGAAGAGTTTGTTGTTTTCAATTTATTGTTTCAAATTATATTAAAATATTTATTCTGAGCAGGCTGTGCCATTCAGCCATGTCACAAAAGAACCGTTCTGTTTTATTCATCTGTGGTTCCTCAGGAACTTGTGTTTGGTTCCAGTGTGATCACAAAGCAGTTGTTTGGGAACAGTAACAAAGATCTACTATAGCGATAGTTATTGAACTTTTTAAAAAATACAAAACACTGTGGGCTCATCTACATGAGACTTTTATTGCAGAGCTGCCTAATTAGCTCTACAGTAAAGTCTCAACGTCTACATGTGCAGCCCTATTAGGCCACAGGAACCTGATTAACTCTGCTGCAGGTTAGTACTTGTAAATACAAGTACTATCCTGCAGCAGAGTTTTTTACTGTGCAGCAATGCACATGTAGATGCCCGGGGCTAGATGGGGCATGAGGGTACTTCAGTGCAGGGCTGACTGCCAGCTAGCCCTGAACTGGAGCACCTTCATGCCACAGCGGCCCCTCTGCAGCATGTTGAGCCAGGTCGGAGCAGCCTCGGTCTCCCTGCCAGCTCAGGCTGCTCCGATCCAGCTCGACATGCTGCTATTCTGGGCACACATGTAAACGCAGTGCCCGGGAGTAATAAACTCTAGTGTGATGCATGCCAGAGTTTATTCGTTCACATTAATTTCACGTGTGGATGTGCCCAGTATTAACAAATAGTGATTGAAATTTGGCAGTCAGTATAGTCAGGGAATTAAATTTTTTACTTACCTTATTGGTTCACTTAGATTATCGCACCCTTTGCCTTTATCTAATACAGCTTGTTCACATCAGGTTACACTATGGAAGTATCTTTTCTTTTCTGTTCTCACAACCACTGCTAAAGAGAAATAGAACTTAACCTGGTGTGAGCCCTTAATATTCACAATAAATTTAGGCTTCTTGTGCCTGCTTCCTTGGACACACTTCTGTCATATACTTTTGAGACTGAGGGTAGCATATGCTTATGCCATATTCCATCATAGCTCAGAAAAATTGCTTTAAGTACTCTAATCTCTCTAATACAGGAAAGCCATTGCTTGCATTCTAATATCAGTATACTTGTCAAATTTTGCCATATTGGCAAAATTATTCTGTTAGTTAAAATGAGAAGACATTTTTTTGTTTTGGCCTTGGCTTTCCCATATGGACAAGTTAAATCTAACGACCTGGAATTTAATTGGTGAGTGGCTTTTAGTAGTAGATTGCCTGTTGGCAAGATCAGCTAGGTTGATCCAAGAAATCAGCTAGGTTGATCCAGAGCTGTTTAAGGTAGAGATGAAATAGAAGCAAAATTTTGTCTCTGAATACCCAAGTGTTTTGATCACATATCTGGAGTTATCGTTACAAAAGAATTTCTTTCATTTTTTTAGCTTTCATAATTGCTGAGGGTAACTGGGAAATCAGATCCCTAAAGACTCAAAAACCAAAGGACAAGTGAAAAGACATTATTTTTCCAATCATCTCATTCACGATACATGAATTCATGAGGCAGCTGTACTAAGATCAGGACACAGTAATTCTTAGTGCTATACAAATGTACAGGAAAGCGTGTTCTCTGCCTCAAATTTATAACCTAGCATCATCTGTCAAGAGCTGCAGAACTCATAAGAACTTTGTTTTTTGTGCATGGTGGCAGTTAAGTAATGTAGCATAATGCTGGAAGTGAAAAATATTCAGTAGCACTTCAGCAGTGGAATGAATGGTAGGTATGTGTGATGTACAAGGGAATACATTATTTTAAATGAATAGTAATTCCCAGCCTCCTCCAGCAACTGTTGATCAAGCTAAATCCTCAGCTGCACCAGTCATTCCCTTCTTTGGGTTTCTCTAAATTTATTCAAGACTGGAGGTCCCGAAGCATATTGGCAAGCTAGATCATGACTAAGGTGAGACTAACAGTGGAAGTCCTCTTATTTCCATGATGGAAACTCATCATTAAGTGATACAGTATCTTTGTATTAGCACAAATCTGGGACCTGATGACTTCTTCTATTAGCATGGAAAATGTAAGTCAGAAATTGTCTTCTGGCTTTTAAGATCCCATGGTGCTATAAAGCAGGATCATATACAGGACTGTGCCAGGGGCAGGGGCAAATCGAGGTGACTGCCCCAGGCCCCATGCTTTGGGGTGGAGCAGTGGCAGCATGGAGCAGGGCAGAGCAGCAGCGGTGTGCCACTCACACTCCCCACCCCCACTACTGCCAGTGCCGCCACCGCTGATAGCTTCTTCGGGTCTGGGATTGGAGCAGGGGCAGAGCCCCACGTGGGCTGATTTGCCCCAGGCCCCGCACCCTGCTCGGGTCACCTCTTGCTGTGAGCCTTGTGAGGTATGGGTCTGGCACTGAGTGGTGCACCCCTGTGGCTGAGAGCCTCCCAGTCAATGAGACTCCCAGCCACAGGGGATCACCACCTGCTGCCAGCCCCACAGCTGACAAGGCTTGCAGTAGTGGCAGTGCTGTTAGTGGGGAGCTTGCAGCGAGAGAATGCTGCCCACCCTGTGAACCTCGTAAGGTGAAGGACTTGCAGTGGAGGTAGTGTTGGGAACACTGCCGCTGCTGTGAGCAGGGCTGTCCCTAGGGGGGCATGAATTGGGGCAACTGCCCTTTGCGGGACCCTGTAGAGCTGGGCAGAGCAGCGGTGGTGCAGAGCTGGGCGGAGCAGCAGCGCATCCAGACACTCACTACCCCTCCTCCCACTGCTGCCGCCGCTGATGGCAACGGTAGCTTCTTCGAGTCTGGGATCAGAGCAGGAGCGGGGCCCCGCATGGGCTGATTTGCCCTGGGCCCCACACCCTGCTCAGGTCAGCTCTGATCATATACATGTAGTTAGACATCTATCTGTTTTCATTTTCAGAGAATTTATTGTCTTTGACTGAATCTAAAACAAAGTAGAACAATTACATTTTATGTTTTACTTTAAGCTAGTTTTGAATTATTTTTCCAGGTTGGAGCAATCCCTGCAAATGCAGCTGATGATGGACAGTGGTCTCAGGGACTTATTTCTGCTGTGAGTAATTTCCCTTTTTTCATGCTCTTTAAGGTTTTAAACCAACCAGAATCTTCTGCAAAAAAATAATATCCAACTAAAATATACTCCTTTGCTCCTAGGCTCGGATGGTGGCAGCTGCAACCAGTAATCTGTGTGAAGCAGCTAATGCTTCAGTACAAGGTCATGCTAGTGAGGAGAAACTCATCTCATCTGCCAAACAAGTGGCAGCCTCTACAGCTCAGTTGCTTGTGGCTTGTAAGGTGAAGGCTGATCAAGACTCTGAGGCCATGAGGAGGTTACAGGTAAGGGTGCTTTTAACTGACATAATTCATGCTTATGTAGCAGAGTAACCCAGCTAGCATCTTTTGAATGAATCTCAGAAATCAGTAAGAAACTGCCTAACAATCACATCTGAGTTTTATCTTCCCCAGTAGTGGAACTGGTTGTGCTTACCAAGGATGCAGCATTTGTACATTGTTTTCTGATCACTGGCCATCATGTTAAAGATGGATGAACCCTAAAAATGATGTGTAGAGTAGCCTGTCCCAAGCACCTGTGTAGGTAGGATATCACAACGTGACAGAATTCCACTGTGATTTCAACAGAGAATCTCAAGCTAACAGTGCTGCACCCAAGATCAAATTGCAGTCAAACACTGTATTAGCTTCTGTTAGAAGTAGCATTTAGATTTAATGTAACTGGAAGATATGGGTGTGTAGGGAGGGGATTGGATAGCAGGTTTATTGTAGGCATTTGGACAGCTCTTTCTGTATAGTTGCCTTGGCTGTTGTCAGTGTATATTTAGCCAGACATCCTGATTTTGCAAACACTTGTATACATTATTGACTTTATTTGCATGAGTACTCATATTATGCTCAGTGACCTTAAATACATGCTAAAGTTTGCAGCACAAAGGATCAGTTTTCCTTTCGTTCTCTACAGTGGTGACATGTAGGGGGTGCACGTTCACCCTCTGAGAGCACTGGTGAACCCCTGACAGCAGCGGTCCCAGGCAGGGGGGGCAGGTGAAACTGCTAGTGTTCCCCATGAGAGTGCTGGCTGGGGAGTGCACCAGGAGAAGCGCCCCCCCCGCAGCCGACCCAGAAGTGCCAGCAGCACACCTGGCTGATCCTTCCCCCCGCCCCTCCCCCCGCGGGCCTGTGGGATCAGCTGCCCCCATCACTGACTGTCTGCTGTGGGGGCAAGTGCCCCCTGACTCAGCAGGCACCAGTCCGCCCATGGTTCTCTGTGAGTTTCATGTTGAGGATCTACAATTAAACCATGATCACCTTACAAGTGACTTTTACCTTTTGACTGTCAGCCCTGCAGTTTCATCCTGGTTTCTAACAGCTGCCCGTAGGTACTGGTTACAGACCTTCACCAGGAGAAGAGGTTCTGCAGCTAAATTGTATCTTTGATAGCAATGTGATCCCCCTTTTTTCACTACTTTCTAGGGATTTCACTGATTAGGACTGAGTAAATTGTCAGTGTGAAAGGAGGATAATATCAAGTTCACCCTCGTAGCTGTCGTGGCTTAAAGTTTAGCAGGACTAAAACCTAGCAAACTTATTTTAGTTACTGAAGTCAACAAGCATGAGTTTGTTGACTCCTCTCTGGGTGAGAGGAGTCTGCTTTAAGCTCATTTTTCAAATCACACCTGTGATTTAAATTTTGAGGCAGATGTAGGATGTCTAACCCAAACAGAAAACAGTAGCATGTTAATGTTATCATTAGGAAAGGGAGGGAGCTCAGATACATTTGTGAGTTGATGAGAAACTCATGAGCTGGGTTTGTCCTGGGTTGTGAAAAGGTATCAGTAACTAAAGGACCACTCCATGTGTAACTTGTGCTTTTAGTATGTAAGTGGCAAGATGGGAGAATAATAGAAACAGAACACTGGTGCTGATCGTGACCTGCCAGACCAATAAGGAATAACTGGGTATTGGATCATCCTAGCCAAATTTGATTGAATCCACATCCTGTACACAAAAGTGGGAGCCTGAGCCCACTGAAAGATAGTTGTGTCGGTGTTGTTTAGCAAACCTTTTGCCTGGGCCCAGGCTGAACAGAGGAAGGAAAAGCAGTTTGCTCTTGAAAATTATGCTCTCTAGTAGAGTAAAAGTACTTGGTGAACATGTCAGAATTTTGCACTGGTGGCTTTCGCAAACACCTGTGTGTTTCTGCTAGCTGTGCCTCCAGCACATTTTTCATGGAGCTTCGATCAGTAGAGTGAATGTGTAAGTCAGGAGGTATTGGCTTCCTCCTTTGCACCCACACAGATGCACACTCCTTTGGAGAAGGAGTTTGAGCAGTTTCTTGCAAATGCAGCTTTGGAATGAACTGCAGTGAGGAGCCTGATGCAAAACATGTGTAGTTTGGGCCCTGTGTGAGAGGTGCTGTAGCCCCTGCGGGAGGGGCTGGGACCCTGCAGACAGGGCAGTCCATGTACTGGGGGGAGGGTCACTGTGCCCTGTGGGGCACAGGGGACCCACCCCTCCTAAGCAGCCCCAGCCACACAGTCCCCACACACTGCATCCCCCCACATCCCTCCACACCCACTCCCCACCTGATCAGTCCCTCTCTCTTGCTCTCTCTCTCATTGTAATTGTGGAAGAACGTGGATTTTGGGGTACTTTAAAAAGTAATTTTGGGATACTGCTTCAGCAGTCCATTTGGCATAAGGGGTAGTGTCCCCAGATGCTAATTGCTCAGGCGCCAAAAGCTCCTGAGGACAAATAGCCCTGAGCTGCTGGCCAGGGCAGGTTTTTATACTGCTGGCTCTAGCTTCCCTTGGCTGCAGATCTGGGAGGAGCTAAGCAGGGTTATTTTGCCCCAAGTGGCACAGTTTGCCCCACACCAAAGTTCATGTCTGGGCACATGCGCTGAGGCAAAAAGCCCTGGCTCAAAGTTGCACTCCGTTTGAGCTGCTGCAAGCTTATGTGCCTGTATGTGTGGACGCGCCCCTTGAGTTAAAAAAGCTGGAGAACCAATACTCTACATCTGTCCAGTTCAATGCTCTACCTCTAACATGCACCCCTGCCCCTGTCAGAGACATGATACTGGGCTAGGTAGTTTCATAATTTCATAGTTGGTAGGGTCGGAAGGGACCTGAGCAGATCATCAAGTCCAAACCCCTGCCATGGCAGGAAAAAGTTCTGGGGTCAAACAGCCCCAGCAAGGTGTTCATCTAACCTCCTCTTAAAGACCCCCAGGTTAGGAGCCAGCACCACTTCTCTTGAAGTTGGTTCCAGCTCCTAGCTGCCCTGACAGTGAAGTAGCGCCTCCTGATGTCTAGTCTGAATCTACCCTCTGCCAGCTTGTGACCGTTATTTCTTGTCACTCCTGGTCATGCTCGGGGGAACAGGGACTCTCCCAAAGCCTGCTGGTCCCGCCTGACTAGTTTGTAAACGGCCACTAGATCCCCTCTCAGCCTTCTCTTGTGGAGGCTGAACAGGTTCAGGTCCCTTAACCTCCCCTCATAGTGCCTGCCCTGCTGACCCCTGATCTTGCGAGTGGCCCTCCTCTGGACCCTCTCCATGTTGTCCGTAGCCCTCCTGAAGTGTGGCAGCCAGAACTGGATGCAGTACTCCAACTGTGGCCTGACCAGTGCCGCATAGAGGGGGAGGATCACCTCTTCGGACCTACTTGTGATGCATCTGTGAATGCATGACAAGGTGTGGTTGGCCTTCCTGACCGTGTCCCCACACTGTCGGACCATGTTCATTTTGGCATCAGTAATGACTCCAAGATCCTTTTCTGCCTCTGCACTGACGAGAAGGGAGTTCCCCAGCCTGTAGGTATGCTGCTGGTTC